TAGCCCTTCACCCAAGCATGCTACTGGCCAAATATCATCTCCCTGGGCATTTTGGTTATTGAGAAGAAGATGTTTAAAGTTTTTGACATATTTGACCCCTGTGACCTTGAAAATAGGTTAAGGTAATTAATTTTAACAAACTTTGTAGCCCTTTATCCAAGTTTGCTTCTGGCCAAATATCGACACCCTAGGCCTTTCGGTTATTAAGAAGAAGTCGTTTAAAGTAAAATATTGACGCCGGACGGACGGACGGACGGACGGACGGACGGACGGACGGACGCCGCGCCACGGCATAAGCTCACTTGGCACTTCGTGCCAGGTGAGCTAAAAATCAGAGGATTATGCACCCTATGTTTACTCCCCAAGTGACATCATCTGAAGATCGCAGGAATTCACCACAGCTGACGGATGTAAAACAGTCAACACCATTTCTAGCTTACTGTACATTCAGTCTGTAGTGCTGAACAAAGTTATGTCCTGTTAACCTCTTCACCCCTATGTAACTTTAATAGACTCTACCATGTGTTGATATGGATGAGTCCATTGTGGTCGACAGTGGTGAAAGGGTTTACACATTATTTTCCTTAAGCAGTTGCTGTGTTTACCGGTAACCTAAGCTTTGGTTAAAAAGGGACTAAACAGAACTCTTCAAGACTTTTTTACTATAACAAAGACCAGAACAATAGGGCACTTAACACAACAGTGTGTACTGACCTTGACCCCAGTGAGAATACGTAGAGTTTCGTCCTTGAGGTCGTCTGGTACACCGTTGTATGACAGGATCGCGTGTAGAATGGACACATGATTCATCCGTACGTAGTAGTTTCTTGTCTGTGAAGGAAAAATACAAATTACAAAGCTAAATCAACAATACAAGATCCACTTTCTGGATAAAATATTTGACCCCTGTGATCTTGAAAGTGGGTCAAGGTCATTTATTTGAAAAAAGCCTGGCAGCCCTTCATCCCAGCATGCTACTGGCCAAATATCATCGCCCTGTGCATTTTGGTTATTCAGAAGAATTTGTTTAAAGTTTTTAACATCTTTGACCCCTGTGACCTTGGATATAGGTCAAGGTCATTTCTTTGAACAAACTTGGTAGCCCTTGATCCCAGCATGTTACTGGCCTAATATCATCACCCTAGGTATCTTGGTTATTCAGAAGAGATTGTTTAAATCATATTTGACCCCTGTGACCTTGAATATAAGTCAAGGTCAGTTGTTTGAAAAAATCCTGGCAGCCCTTCATCCCAGCATGTTACTGGCCAAATATTATCACCCTATGTCTCTTGGTTTTCTAGAAGAAGTTGTTTAAATGTTTTTAATATATTTGACCCTTGTGACCTTGGATATAGGTCAAGGTCATTTCTTTGAACATACTTGGTAGCCCTTCATCCCAGCATGTTACTGGCCACATATCATCACCCTAGGTATCTTGGTTATTCAGAAGAAATTGTTTAAATCATATTTGACCCCTGTGACCTTGAATATAAGTCAAGGTCATTTATTTGAAAAATCCTGGCAGCCCTTCATCCCAGCATGTTACTGGCCAAATATAATCACCCTAGGTCTCTTGGTTTTCTAGAAGAAGTTGTTTAAATGTTTTTAATATATTTGACCCCTGTGACCTTGGATATAGGTCAAGGTCATTTCTTTGAACAAACTTGGTAGCCCTTCATCCCAGCATGTTACTGGCCAAATATCATCACCCTAGGCCTCTCGGTTATTCAGAAGAAATTGTTTAAATGTTTTTAACATATTTGACCCCTGTGACCTTGGATATAGGTCAAGGTCATTTCTTTTAACAAACTTGGTAGCCCTTCATCCCAGCATGTTACTGGCCAAATATCATCACCCTAGGCCTCTCGGTTATTCAGAAGAAGTTGTTTAAAAGATTTTAACATATTTGACCCCTGTGACCTTGAATATAAGGCAAGGTCATTCATTTGAACAACCTTGGAAGCCCTTCATCCAAGCATGTTACTGGCAAAATATCATAATCCTAGGCCTCTTGGTTATTCAGAAGAAGTTGTTTAAAGTAAAAAGTTGATGCCGGACGGATGTCCCTTCGGGCCAGGTGAGCTAAAAACACATCACATCCTGCTAAATTTCTGGACATTACCTGTAGAATTGGAAACTCGTTGATGACATCTTGGACCAAAACCAGTAGCTCAGCGTCAGGAATCAAACTGGGGAGAACAAGAAAACCACCATTAGCTTTGTGAAATAACACAAAAATTCAAACATTTTCATTTACATGTTCGACAGTTTCAGAGATGTATATTCCCTATTTTTTCATTATCAAACTTTACATAGCCCAGTAAGCATAATGATCATGATTCTGACAGTGATTTCTAAATTTATCAATGAATAACAGTGATTTTCCTTAAAGCAATATTTCTTATATTTCCCAATTTAATTATTTTAATTTGTAAATCAACAGAAAAATCATATCTCTGGATCATAAATAAGAAACTGTTTGGAGAGATTGTAAATAAGAAACTGTTTGGAGAGGGAAAAATACTGCAAGCTGAAGATTTATACAAAGTTCTTACTTTCCCTGGTTGTGTGTCACAATATCAAATGCACACTCAGTTATCTCCCTTGGATGTTGGCAATGGTGCATTTTCTCCCTATACACACGGTCGATACAGAAACGTTTCAGGTGATGTACTCCTCCCCGCGCTATGTAACGCGCAAACGGTACCTGTAAGATAGGCAGGTGTCAGGCATCACTGAATTTGTAAACAACCAGATTCAGTAAATCATCTACCAGGTATGTAAAATTTACGTATTTTACTCCTAAATTGTTTTACAATATATTTCTTGGTTGAAAATACAGATGCAAAGAATGTACAAAATTTTCATGAATCAACCTTGTTGTCTAATCATGGAAAAGGTATCAAAGTGAAATCAGGAATTAAATATAATTTATATCAAGAGAACCTGATTTATCCTCTTAAACTCATCGTTATCAATCACTTTGCTACATAGCAAGAAAAGTGTGTGACTTCATGACTTCTGTCTGCTTAACCAAAATTTTTTGCTAATCAATACAAACAAATCTCTTGATTTCTTTTGAATCAGAAACTGCTCAAATCAAATTCAGTGAAAAATACTTTGCAAGCACACACAGGACACTGTCAATTTACCATGAAACTGAATCCCTGGCTTAGATGGACTTTGATGTCCTGATCCATGCATACTAAATATAAGTTCAAAACACCAAAAAAAACACTGATCACTGCAGTCAATGAGACAGAACTCATTAACTCATTCACCCCTGAAATTTCATAATGAACTATACCAACCTTTGAATTGGAAGAGTTCAAATGTGTTTTCAGGGGTGAATGAGTTAAGGATTGGAGATACTGACCCTGATATCAAATAGCTAGGTGACAGGCTGACCACTGTGGTCAACAAGAAAAGTTGATACTGACCCCGAGATAAAGAAAAGAGTGACCAGCTGTAGTAAATCAGACAAAAAATGATCTAGTTAATGGATGGTGACCCTTTGATTAAAGATACAAGTTACCGGCTGACCACTGGTCAATGAGGAAAGTGGATGTCCAATTAGTGGATACTGACCCTGAGATCAAACGGTAGAGCGATCGGCTGACCACTATGGTCTATCAGACAGGTGTATGCATCAGTAGCCCCGTAAACACCACACTTGGGCATCAGCAAGGGAGTGGTGAATTGTACTGCTCCATGCTTCTGGAACAGGCGCGTCAGGGTCTCCCTCACAAGCTGTTGGATCAACGGGTTCTTCAGACTCAGTGCGACCTGAAAAATATCATATATACAATAATGCTGTAATTATTTTACTAAAAATTTCATCAACAGACGAACACTAATGAATAAATACATTTACATATGTAACCTAGAGTTTGTGTGTAAGTTTCCTCTTGGATTCTGACAAACATCACCAACACTAGATACACAGGCAGGTGTTTGAAAAAGTACATAACAGCAAGGAAATTTGAAATCAAAGAAAGCTGGAAAATGTCTGTAGACAGGTATGTCCCTACTATAAAGTAAAATACAACCACAAATGAAAGCACAAGGGGGTGACAAATAATTCTTGATGTAGTCACAATATTATTTACCTTAGGTGTAAAATGCTGATATGCAAACTCATTCAAGCTACCCTACCTAACCACTGTATCAAGTTGCATTAAGAGATTGTAAAGGACATGTTACAGCCAAACCATTTACAGCAGTTACAGCCAAACCATTTACAGCAGTCAGATGATAACTCATTCCTGGTAACTGTTAAAGGGACATCACGTGAAAAGGCGATTTTTTTTTAATGAATGTATGTATTGTATGCACTTCCACTTATGTTACCACTCTATCCCCATATTCATAGTCCGTTCCAAATGTCCAGTTTGACCACTTGAATTGTTCGGGAAAGCCCTGCTAAAAATAGCGCCGATTAACGTCACCTGATTAGGCAGTAAACACAAGTAATGCGAGCGAGATGAAACGGTTTCCAAAGGGGCCCCCAGAGAGGGGCCGTCAGGCAACTGCAACTTCTTACCGCACTATGAAACCAAGTTATATGATTTCTAGGTCCATATTCAAACTTATTGAACAGTAATATATTCATCATTAGAAATTAATTGCACACTTGCCAATATTCAGAATTTGAATTTATTTAGCTTTAAACATAAATGTGTTGCCAATAAAATTAAACAAGGGATGGGGCACAAGTTTTTACAATTTATCACAGCCTTCTTCCGTCATACATTTACAATTAAATGTCAACAATGATAATAGGCATAAACATAAAGTAGATATATTTAAATATATATTGAATTTAGTACCGGAATGTGGCCGGTACAGATGGTACGGGGCTAAACACCTTCCTTACACCAAGGGACAAACCTTTCTGATTATTTTTTTTATATGTTGCCGGGGCAGAGGAGGCCGGGTATTCATATTAGTACTAATTTAAATCTTGCATGTAAAAACAAAGTAATCGTTTAGTTCAGCAATATAATTAAATCATACCATTTTATTGAACCCGGTAATATTATAAATTATGTAAATCCACGGACTTCGATAATACGTATCTCGGTGACCCACAAAATACGCCGTGGGCAATCACAACAGTTATCCCTTGGAGGGCCTCATGGAAAAATCAAACTAACCAGTCACTTATCCCTTCCTTTCGCATAAACCACTGTATAATTATAGAAACACAAAGTAAACTCTCTCCAATACATGCCCATTAACATATTAAACTAAGTTCATCTGTGTTCAAACTCAGACAAAGATACTAGCGAGCTTAATAGTTTTAGATATTTATTCATAACATAAACAGCGCTAGCATTTCTGTCGATTCCATTTCAGCTTAACCGGCTATCCGGAAGAATACATGCACCGTACTAACTGCTACGGCAGTTATTTTCTCCTTTGAATACTGCCCACCTGCAATAATGATTCCGTAACGTACTCCTTGCGCTATCTTTTGACCATTTGGCAACTTTTCGTTTCGTAGCTGACACGGTACAACACTTTTCTTTCGCTTACTTCACACGGCCAGTCATTTTGTTTACAAAGAAATGGTGTGCTATGCGCATGCGCTAGTAGAGGGAAATCCCTGAACAAAACGTTAGTCAGACAGGTAGAAATACCGATGATTTTCTTAGATTTAATCATTTTTATGAATCTATTTCAGCCAAATCCGATCGTTATTTTCCATAAGGAGTCTCACTTGATATGTTTATGTAGTATTTGAAAAAAAGACAAAAAATAAAGTTACTTCACCGTGATGCCCCTTTAAATGCAAGTTTAATTGTAGTTCCAAAGAGGGTGGAATGTTTTCTAAATCAAATTTTATTATTGAATTTTTCTGACTTCTGTTGTATTAAATGCAGCAAAACGAATGAAGAATCAGTTTTTTTATTTTTCAATTGTTAAAAAAATCAGATTCACATAATATATCAGCAGACAGCCTTACCTTATGGTAGTCTGTGTCATAAAGCACATCGACTGCTGAGTTAATGGTCTGTGAGAATAGGGCGCCTATCATACGACGGTACGCCTTGCTGTTAGTGTTTGAGATGGTCGACCTCAACACCTCATTAAGCTCTGCCTCCTCAAGTTGTGGAGGGGGGAGGAACGAAGATTGTAGCAGCTCAGTGGAGGTAGGTCGCTTACTGGGGTCATGATTCAACAGCCATATAATTATACAAGTCTGGAAACAGAAGATATGTATGAGATATATATTTCTCTCCTCTGCAATTTTTTTTTTAATTTCTCTCCTCTGTAAAGCAATAAACTTAAATTTTATGTTAATTATATTTTCCTCCTGCAAATCAATAACTTTATTGTTGAAAGAATAATCTTTTTGAAAGCAAGTGATTTTGAATGCCCAACCAAACTATATGTTTAGGATGTTGTTTGCTGAAAGCAACAGCAACTTCTGGATGCCGTTTATTAATTAACAAGTCATAAAAAAGAGAACGATGATTTGTAATTAAAATGACATTTTATTATGTAAACACATAATCATATGTTAGCACATCAAAACATTTGAAGAAACTTCCTTTTGATTTTAAATCAATTAAACATGATTGATTACATAAACAAGAGGCCCAGAGGGCCTGTATCACTCACCTGAATATATTTAAAATAATTGGTATGAAGTTAAAATATAGCACTCCATGGTAGGTGCTGTAAGTACATATGAAATTTCAGAAAGATCCATCCAGTACTTGATATATAGCAAGAACAAACTTCAAACAGAGCCCCACCCCTATGCCCCTAGGGGGGATCATACCCACCAATTATACAAAATTGAGTCCCCTTGGTCTAAGGATGCTCTAGACTAAATATGGATAAAATCCCTAAATCCCGATGGTCGAAGAAGGATTTTAAAGGTTTTACCTCTATTTCCCCTATTGGGCCCCGCCTCTCTGCCTCCTGGGGGGTTAGACACACCGTTTATACAAAATTGGTTCCCCTTCACTCAATGATGCTTCATAACAAATTTGGACAAAATCCTGCCATTCGTACACAAGAAGGTATTTGAAGAATTTGCTATGTTTCCCCTATTGGGCCCCGCCTTCTGTTCCCAGGGGGGCCACACTGTTTATACGAAATTGAGTCCCTTTTGTCCAAGGATGCTCAAGACGAAATTAGGATAAAATCCCTTAATCTATATGGTAGAAGAAGGATTATAAAGGTTTTACTTCTATTTCCCCTATTGGGCCCTGACCCTCAGGTCCTAGGGGGGCCACACCCACCGTTTATACAAAATGGGTTTCCCTTTACCCAAGGATGCTCCTCACCAAATATGGACCAAATCCTTTCATTCCTACAGAAGAAGAAGGACATTAAAGAATTTGTTATATTTCCCCTATTGGGCCCCACCCCTCAGCCCCCAAGGGGGCCAGACCCACCGTTTATACAAAATTGGTCCCCCTTTACCCGAGGACGCTTCAGACCAAATATGGAACAAATCTTTTCATTCCTACAGAAGAAGAAGGATTTTAAAGAATTTGCTATATTCCCCCTATTGGGCCTGCCCCTCAGCCCCCATGGGNTTGGGCCCCGCCCCTCTGCCCCCAGGGGGGGCCACATCCACCGTTTATACAAAATTGAGTCCCCTTGGCCTTAGGATACTCCAGACCAAATTTAGTCAAAATCTACTTGGCCGTTCAGGACTAGTGGAGTTTTGAAGGAAAAGTTAACGGAAGGACGATGGACGACGGACGCTGCGGTATGGCATAAGCTCAGGACCATGGTGACCTAAAAACATGTAATCAGTATTCACGTTCAGGGCGAGTCACAGTGGATTGTTACCTGATTTTCAAAGTTGATCTGATCATAGTCGTCTGGGAGTTTGATTTCTGGGAGACGTAGATTATTGAGGATCTTGACCCTCTCCATCCCTGTAGGTAGGGGCTTGTAACACATCTCAAAGAAGATGATCCCCATACTGTACATGTCCACTTTCTAACAAGTTAAAAAATATTATAACCTGATGAATATTATATATCAATATTACATTTTTAGCAGGAAATAACTAAAATCTACTATGTGCTAAAGGTTTTTTCATGACAGTGTTATTTTTTCCACTGTTTGTGGCAAGATGAAATCCTAAAAATGAACACAACATTTAATGATGATATAAAACCTGTAAAATTCAACGTATGTGACTATGTGAGAATTTCTCATCAAGTAAAACTACAGACCTTACCATCTCAGACCCTTGAAATTCAACACAACAATATGAACTTTTTAATCAAGAAAAACAACAAACATTAAAGTCATTAAATGTGCATTAATTTGTACTTTTCTACAAAGATTTATAAATAACATACAAAGATTCTGAATCAATTACAATTGTCAAGAAAACTACGCAAAATAAGCAACTTGCATTTCTACAAAATATTTTACATCATACTATAATAACATTTAAATTACAATTCACAAAATGTTATGGGCAATTGATAAAAGATACTGAAAGTAATATGACAGGACCGGTGCTGTACCTGACTATAGACGATCTTGCTTTCTCCAGTCATCATCTCGGGACTGACGTACAGGGCGGTGCCCACCTTACCAGTAAGGTTACCGTCACCGATGCTGCCAGACTGCGAGTTGTACTGATTATCCATCGCTAGACTGTTAGTCAACATGGACACGTCCATCAGGGTACTCTGTTGCTATAGTTACATAATCAAACGACTAGTTTTTGTCAGATGTGTGCTGTGCTGTTATGTTCTTTTATAGCAAATGAACCAAAAGTTATTTTATTTTTTTATTATTACTGAAAAAGTAAGTTCTGCAATAGAAATAACTCAAATAAGACCTTTTGTAAATCATAGTTGTAGTCAGATCATTGCAATCATGTTTTAGTGGTTCATGCTGTGATTAACATCTTCATGCAATTATGAGGTTCATAATGATTTTACAGGACTATTTTGTGTAAATCAGTCATCCATTCTGAGAAAGACTAAGCTATTAAAGTTTGATAATAATTTCCACTAAAACAAATATAAAACTCAGTGTTCAACTGACAACAACAAAATTAAAATCATTTAATAACTTTGCTTTTGTTATTTGCCCAAAATGACACAATAGGTGGTGATCTACCTTGAGTATAATGTTGGTAGTGGCCAGTCCGAAGTCGCCGATCTTGACGTGGTCGTTAGAGTCGAGGAAGATGTTGACGGGTTTGAGGTCGCGGTGAATCATCCCCTGTTGGTGGATGTGCTGGATGCCCTCAATGATCTCTCTGAAGAATCGCCACAAGCGGTCCTGGTCGTGGTACAGCCCAGCGTCTATACAGTTCCTCAGGGTACTCTTCTCACAGTACTCCATCTGTTAAGGAAATATGTGACCTTACATTTACCGCCATTCTAAGACAGTTCCCCGTCAAGAAATCTGTCAAATGTATTTTATTTATGATTTAAACATAGTATCTGAACTGATGGCATGTTTTGAAAGATACATGACAATTGGTGACAAATCTGAAAGATAAACAAGGATTGATAACACTATGAAAGATAAGCGAAAATTGATGACACATTTGAAAAGTACACAAGGATTGATAACACATTCACAGTACTGCCAGTCTTTTAACCCATGAAGAATTACATTTGAATATAAACAAACTGTCATTCTGCATAAACAAAAAGGCCACTTCATTTTCTTCTCTTTTCTCAATGTGACAATATCACAAAGTTCATTAATGGCTTTGTCTAGTCGTAGAAATATATATTTTTCCTCCTGATTTCCTCTTGGTAAGGAAGGAAACAGCATAGGAATTGTAAAGGAGACACATATTTCCTATTTTGACAGAATGCAAAGGGTAGAGTACAAGAACCAAAATATTAGTTGTTTTGATATACTATACCTGTATGTACAGATACTGAAGGCGCGGTATCTGTGACATGTCCTCGCTGTCAGTTGTGTCCCCTTTCTTGTCAGCATCCAGACTTTTCTGTAAAAGAAATTGCTTAAGGTTAAAGGGGCTGGTCGGGGAACAAATGTCATATTTGCTAAAATGGCATACACATGTTTAAAATACCTTCTTATGAAATATACCGATTCAAATTTTGCTGAAATTCACTCCCTAAGAGTAAAAAATTAAAATTATATTAAAGAAATCCTAATTCTTCACCTGACAGTCTAAAACTCTCAATTGACCCAGATCAGTGATGTAATTTTACTGCATGTGCGTCATCAACAAGGCCAAATGTAAACATCGCAACGAAAGAAAAAGATGCATGCAAAAGTCATGACAGGCACGAGGTATCAATACCGTTATATATAACAACAACATATGGTAGGAATACTTCACCTGCATCATACATGACCTTTGAAAACAATTATTTACGTATAGTATTGCTGTCTTGTCCGCTAGTTGAGTCAGACATGGCTGATAGATGGCGTGCTATTGTTGTTATCTTCACTGCCTCACTTTCGAAACAACCACGTGACATATATAAATAGATCTGCACTAAATTTACGCGGGGCTTCCCCGAGATTTCAGTGATCAAAACTGGACATTGCAAGCAGATCTCGACCATCATATTGCCGTGGTTTAACTTTTGGAAGGCCAGAGAACACATTTAGACCCATTTATTTTGTAATTTTTCCCCCGACCAGCCAAAGATGTATTTTTTGTTTTTGGTAAAATATGGTATAATTTATTACCATTAACATGAAGTAACAAGAGTGCTGCAGGGCGGAACAATATACTCCCGTCGAATACCATAAAGTGTTATATACTTTCTTACATTGAAATAAGATCTGCATCATTCTAAGAGTGGTTAGCTGACATGCTATAAACAAGAGGCCCAATGGGCCTGAATCACTCACCTGGTATTAATCTCACACTTAAAAGTGGACTAAAATACAGCTACAGGCAGAATATCAGTGATTGATTTATAGTCTTTCAACCAAGTATGCTTCTGGGAAAATATCAGTACCCTGGACCTTTTGGTTATACAGAACAAGTCATTTAAAGATTTAAACATATATTGACCACAGTGACCTTGAATATGGGTGAAGGTCATTCATTTGAACAAACCTGGTAGTCCTTCATACCAACATGTTAATGGACAATTATCATCACCCTTGGCCATTTACTTATTGAGAAGTCTTTTAAAGGTTTTAAACATATTTGACTCCTGTGACCTTGAATATATGTCAAAGTCATTCATTTGAACAAATTTGGTAGTCCTTCATCCCAGCATGTTACTGGCCAAGAATCATGATCCTAGGCCTCTTAGTTATTGAGAAGTTGTTTTAAGACATTTGACCCCTGTCACTTTGAAAGTGGGTCAAGGTCATTCATTTGAACAAACTTGGTAGCCCTTCATCCCAGCATGCTACAGGCCCAATACCATCACCCTGGGCCTTTTGGTTATTGAGAAGAAGTCATTTGATGTAAAATATTGATGTCGGCCGGCCGGACGCTGCACCACGGCATAAGCTCACCTGCCCTTCGGGCAGGTGAGCTAAAAATGTAGGAGAAAATCTCCGGACAAAAAATCAAATACTGAAAAGAACAAAGGGCAATAACAGTTGCAAAAATCGTCGAATCAAAATTCTTTTAAGGGAGACAATACAATAAGGGAGAAAAATGTAGGAGAAGATTGCCGGACAAACAAGGTTTACAACGCCATATAATAATACTCCCGTCAAATTTGACGGGCATATAAAAATGTTATTAATGATATTTATACCAAGGTATAAGACATAAAGCAAATCAGGCCTACATTTGGAAAAGTCACCAAACAACAAATTTGATCTTGCAGGCGAAATTTTGTTAGTTAACTTTCTAAAGAAATTAAATGTATCGACATACCTTATTGGAAGACATGGAGGGCTCATAGCTGGTAGTACTCTCCTCTCCAAACAGGTTTTCCAGACTGTGTTCAAACACAATGTCCTCAGAAGAGTCGGACTTGGGTCTGATAACATAAACTCAATATAAAACTTCCCTCCATTTTTTATATTTTTTGGGAGCTCTAAATGACAAATGACAGACTTATGGTCCCCTTCCCATGCCTCAAATAATCCGACGAAATCTTTATAAGTAAAATTGTTTATATTCAAATAGGACTCTCATAATTATGCCAAATATGTTTATGAGTATTTTTAATAAAAATTTTGAAAATTCCAAAGTTAACTCAAAACAATATTGTGTTTCTGATAGCCCAAAGTATCCCCAAGCTATAAAGTTTACAGGGTGACTCACAGGAATGATGTCCCAAACACATCATCCTCATCCTCCGAGTCAGACTCTTGCGCATTTGTTCCTCCTACATCGTACGACACGCTCCACTCTATCGACTCCTCCATGGGTACTGCCTTCGGTACATACTTCTCTAAATCGTCAGTCATGTTTAGGGTGTTGTGAAAGAATGACATTTGTTGTGGGGCTGTCGCCTTGACAACAGGAGACTGCGGCGTATTTGAAGAGCTCCAAGAAGAGTCACTTTCTGCAGGATCCTCGGTGGTTTCTATCCAAGAGTTGTAGTACCTACCAAAGAAGGTCAAGGAAGGTCAAAGGTTAAGGCCAGCCTCAATCAAGATAATTAATTACAAACTTAAATGTAGGCTGAGAAACTGCTGTAATATATGTTGCTATCCAGAAGAGATGATCATTTATAGTATTGTACCTACCATCAGAAGGTGAAGGTCAAATATCAAGGTCAACTTACATCAAGGTCCCACAATATGATTTTTTACACCTATTACAGTGAGAAAAACGAAATCCCTTACTCTGGGTTACAAATTTAAAAAAAGAAATTGGTAAAACTCTTAAGAGCCTCACAGACAGCGACAATTCATACCTCATGGATTTTAAATTAAAAAAAAAAATCCAGCCATACACAAATATGAAACAGGCTATCATCAAGATATTGGTCTTTTATCTGTTTTATAAAAGATTGATACCTGACAACATTTTCATGATTGAGACGAGATAAAAGCTTGACCTCCCGCGTTATCTTCCTGTTAAACATTTTACTACGAGGATTCAGTGGGATTCTCTTGATGGCGTACATCCGAGCATCCAATTTATTCTTCACCTGTAAACAAACAAGAGATGTTTCGTGCTTTGAATGTAAATGTCCAATGTCTAAATTTCAAAACACTGTAATACACACATAACCAATAGACAGGTTTTTTTAACTTCTACCCTATGTCTAGATCATTAGGATGCTTCAACATATGTCTAAAGCACAGATGAAAACAATGGGAAGCTGGGCAATTCAATCTCCGAACAACAAATAAACACTTTCTGGCTATGAGAACAATAGAATAAATACGAGATGTTCATCTGATTATTTTCACTTTTTGGGCAATTGAATGATAGGGTGAATGCAATACTTGTACTAGGCTAAAAACATCACATATCCTATCAGTATACCTGGGATTATTCAACACTTCCCAATTTGTTTTAAAAATTAAAGAATATGGCAGGTCAAAAATATTAATGGTTCATCATTGTCATTTTGTTAAGTTATCATAAGGCCATAAGTGATGCCTTGTGTTTTCTGAGTTAAACTGCCTTCATATCCAATGTCATATCCGGTATTTCAATATCAAAAAACAATACCTAAAGCTCAAAACAATTCTATGATTATTGAGGTTTTTCTATTTCTATTTCTGACTCCTTGACTGTCCTAGACTGAGAGGAGAGAAGTTCCTCAAATTAAAAATAGTGTGAAAAAAGACACAAAGACAGAGTTCTCCAAGCATTACAACACTCTCAAGAAAAAGTGTCATCTCTGAAGCCTCCCTTGACCAGAGATTATAATACAAACCTTCAATACATCTCCAAAGCCTCCTTTGCCCAGAGATTTCAGGATCTCAAATTCATTTGTCAGCCGAGATTGGCCACTCGCTTCAAAAGCGGTGATAAATGGTTTCTCCTCTTCCTCCTCCTCCTCTTCTCCTTCTTCCTGGTTATCTTCCTCAACCTCTTCACTACCTAGTCATTCAACCAAAACAAAATCAGAACAATGACTAATTTTCATTTAGGACTGTTCCAAAACTAAAACTGTCGCCTATGGGCTAACTAATGCATTCTGGCTGCTTGTTGCCCCTGTAGGGGCTAAATAAACAAGGGAAAAAATACATAGAAAGATCAAGGGTCATGAAAAAGTCTAATCTCAGATGTCGTATCGAAATACCTATGGAAAAGACTAACACCATTACTGTGACTGAATGACTTCCAAATTTTGTCACAATGTAGCTTGCATCAATGCTACATTTACTCCAAGGTATGTATACCGGTACACAAAATACCTACCATTTCTGCCATCATTAGCCATTTCAGTAACATAATGCATATTTGACCTTCAACCTTTGACCTGATAACCTTGGAAGTTTATGACAATATAGCCTGCATAATTGGCTACGATACTCTAACGTTTATGTGTATACAAAATACCTACTGTTTCCGAGATAATTAGCCATTTTGGTAACGTAATTCATTCGTGACCTTTGACCTCTGACCCCATGACTTCGGAAGCTGTCAGTGGAGTAGATTGCATTAATGCCGACAATATTTTAAGGTACATGTGCATACAAACTATCTTCTGTTTCCGAGATATCTAGCCATTTCAGTAACATAATTCATTCATGACCTCTGGCCCCATGACCTCGGAAATTGTCAGTTGAGTAGCTTTTATTAATCTCTACAATATTCCAATGTATATGTGTATACAAAATACTTACCATTTCCGAGACATTTAGCCATTTCAGTAATGTAATTCATTTGTAACCTTTAACCTTTGACCCCATGACCTCAGTAGTTTGTCAGAAGAGTAGCTTTCATTAATGCCTACAACATTCCAAGGTATATGTGTATACAAAATACCTACCGTTTTCGTGATAATTAGCCATTTCAGTAAAAAAATGTACCGTCTACAGAAGTCAAGGGCCATATTGAAGGAACATACTTGCGTTCTGGGAGACACAAGTTCATTTGAGGTATAACATGTGTGTAGAGTTTCATCAAAATCCATGCATAAACCTAGGAGGAGTAGGAGGTACAACGTTTTGTCTACAGACAGACAGACAGACTTTGTGCAGGGATATAATTATCTGTAGGGGAAGGGTGGGAGGTAATTTTTCAGAGACCCACCCCCCATTAAATCTTTAAAGTGAATTAATATAAGGAATAGTAGGCAGATCTGGTTTTAACACAACCACCCATCAGTTATTAATACAGGTGCCATACAATAAATTCTGCCCTAACTGTATTATTCTATGAAAACTGCTTTTAACTTAAACTGTAAACTATATACGGGCTAGCTTGAATATCCCTCCTGATTAAACTGCACGTATGCCCACTCACTCACACTGGACTTGATCAAGGGTCTTATTACCGTCTTTCACCTGCTCTTTCTTACCTCTAGTCTAAGGTGACAAAACTTGAATGTAAACTTAGCTGTGGTCTGAGGTTTGTCCTTACTTACCAGAAGGCTGAGTTCTGCCTGAACCTGCATGCAGCTCAAAGTCTGCTTAAACTCAAGAGCAATTTGAAGTCTGCAAAAGCTAGAACGAGGGCATCTGTCCTGAGTTACCTTGAGTTTGAAGTCTACCCATCTGAGGTGTGTAACTTTACCTGGCTTCTGAGGGCTGTCCAGAGGTTTGACCTGTGTGTAGTGGACGGTCAGTGGGATAATCGACTTGATGAAGGGATGTTCCAGTAACTCATGCACTGCCCAGCGATGCCGGTCATCTTTTAACAGACATCTGAATCAAGAATGATGGAGGCTTATGGTATTTCAATAAAGAAATTCTAGTATCATACAAACAATTTTCAATTACCGTTGGTATATTATTCGAAAAAAAATCTAGTGGATATAAAACAAAATTGAAACTAAAGACTTCCTAACAAAAGCGATGTAATGTTTGATCCATACGAAAATTATTTCACAACTTTCAAAACCGATTCAGTACACACATAATAAATGATTTTAAAACTCTGATTGACCTATCCTCAACACAGAATTAATATATTACTACCATCGGTCAATATCTACCACTTGTCTATGACTTTCTCCATTGGTCTTTACAGATAGATTTAATCATTAATCAATACAATATCATGGATATATATTTTGCAAATTAAATGACCCCTATATTGTTCGACAACCTACTTAGTCAGGAAATCCTGGAAGTCAACAGGGAAGATGGTGGGTATGTCTGGTGTATTGGTCATCACTTCCTCTCCGCGGGCAATGGACAGCAACATTAACCCCTACAGCAGGTCAAAGTTCACAGGGTCAGCATCAACAATAATAAACAATATCTTTAAAACCACCAAGTTGTAAAATAGGACCAATTTTGATATACCAACCAATATGCCAATTAAAAGTGGTCTCATGAGACCGACTTCATTTCCTTGAGCTGAAGAAAGTTAACACATGTTGAATAGCCTTTTTAGATTGTTGGTTATGACATGTAACTTTAACGAGAGATGTTCACTTTGGTTTGTTGTCATGGATTCATCATAAATAACGGAGAACAAGAGAACAATATATGCCTGTCCTATGCCAACCTGACATACTGAAAATCCTTCTGATGCATTATTATATCTAAATGTATGGAAATATAGAAATATATCATCAGAATCCAGTCATATTTGACTACTGTAGGGAAACTGTCGACAAATCATATAGCAGTATGCTAGAAAAGTATGTCCAGGTTTTCCACAGCTTTAAGCTTAGCCTTTGCCATTGTATAATACAAATATTGACCAAGTTCCATCAGGATCCAGTCATATCTGACAAAGTTATTGTGCAGAAACCATCATCCAATCAGAGCACAGTAGGCTCATTAATTATGAGTGGATTTTGTTCCACTTCAAACTTAGCCTCAATCTTCGTATAAGGTACATGCAAACAAATTTTATCAAAATCAAACGATATTTAAGCAAGCTAACTTTCAGAAACCGAAATGTGAACGGATGCTCCCCATTCCATAATAGGTCCCTTCAAACTTTTTGACAAGCGTATGAAAACATAAAGATCCTCATGTATATCATGTCTTTTAACAGCGATTCAACTGGGTTAAGTGTTGAATATAGGAAGGTCACTATATCACTGTCCTATTCCATCATCAGTAATGTCTAGCATATTTCACAGCACATCTTTATCTTACTTTCTACAAATATATTTCTATGCCTTCTTTCCCCTTTTTCTCTCTCTTTACAAACCTTCAAAATTAAACATCTCTACATAATGCAAAACCCTGTTGTATAACTAACACTTTGCTGAAAAAAGGGTGGCATTACATAGGAGTGTTCCTGTAGTTGGTCAATAACAATAATAACACAACCAGGCTTACATGCCATTGTTGTCGTCTGCTTCAGTCGCTAGAAACTCTAGGGTGATACTTCTAATTTTTTGAGAGAGGCTCCAAATGGGGGGAAAATGATTGAGGAAACTTGAGAGTGAGAAGGAAATAACATTGTATTTTTGTCCTGTAAGATAGTAAGATACACCATTATAAAGATGAGGTATAATAACAACAGCTGTATAACATTGTGTTTTTGTCCTGTAAGATAGTAAGATACACCGTTATAAAGATGAGGTATAATAACAACAGCTGTTACCAGTTGGAACACGTCGCCTTTCTTTCCCCCTCTTCCAGCAGATGGTGACCGGTGGTCAGTGAAATGGACACCAGGTCGACTTGCCTCCACCAGCTGGAACAGGTCAGTCAGTCTTCTGTCCAGACTGTAGTCCGACAGGCGCACTTTACCAGAGTGATCAACAAACACACTGGACGGCTGCAAACACAAAAATATCACACTTCACACATTTACTATAGACAAGCTAATGCCATTATTACTGATTTCAAGACAGCACATTTTTGCAAGGAGCTGTTTTCTTAATTGCTTCCAAGTTAACAATGTGAAAGAAACTGTTACTCTATAAATAATAGATAGCCTATAGTTTATTGTGAAAGTCTGATTTCCATGCCTCTCTACACTCACCCTCATCTTTTGGTGTCTTTAGATTTACCCTTAGATTTTTATGCTTCTCTGTATGTACTTAGCATCTGTTTTTATTGTTTATCTAGTCTCACCTTGGAATTTTAGTGTCTCTCTAGACTTATTACTACATTTTAACATCCCTCTAGTTTTACCCTCAGCTTCCAGTCTCTGTCTAGACTTACCCTCAGGTTTCAATTGTTTTCAGATTTTCATACCCCTTCTTGACTTTCCCTCAGCTTCTACTGTCACTCTAGACTAAACCCTCTCTACCTAAGTCTTAACCCTAGCTTTCATTGTCCCTCTAGACTTACCCTTAGCTTTCAGTGTCCCTCTAGACTTGCCGCTAACTTTCAGTGCCTCTCTAGACTTACCCTGAGGTTCTTATGCACCACATCCTTACTGTGTATATACTCGAGGGCGTGGAGGAGGTCTTCAGCGTAGTGTTTGACCAGGTCGATGGTCACTGGCTGACCCTTCCTCGTATATGTGTCCATACTCAGACCAGTACAGTACTCCATCAACACCTGAAAACCAGGACAACATACTGTATTCGGGGAAATATTTGCCGCAGTTAAACTTTTGCCATTTGTCGCCCTACGTATATCATTACATAGAACATTAGTAAACAAAGTGATCAAATGTGAAGGATGCAATGCACGAATGGACGAATACAGATTTTGTGGGCGAAGGGCAAAAGTGTTTTTGTGCATTCGTTTCCCAGTATACAGAAGTATATATCGCAACACATGCAGGAAACCTGGTTTTACATACGTAAACTTGTCACTTTTCATCAGAGTATATAACGGTGTTCGATTATCTGAATGAGTATCACAATCATATGAATACACACAGCAATATTTCTCTTCTTTTTCCTATAGAACTTTATTACCCACACAACAATATGGATGTGAAAACAACCAATCATAGCAACTGTTCCAAACCACACAATATGAATGCGTAGATCACCAATCAGAATGAGTGTTACATGTCGCTGCGTGTACCACCTGACACTTACGTATACTATGATCCTGTCAGCCTCCTTTTGGTATTTAAATGACAGGTAGTGGATGAGGTTTGGGTGGTGTAGATGGATCAGCGAGTTCACTTCCTGTTCTATACTCATCACCTAGACAACGTCAAAAAGATGTGATAACGACATGAAATGGATTATATTTAAAATTGTATACTGAACATTTTTCACAAACCCACTTACCCCAAGGCCGCATTTGATATTAAGGATCCCAGTCTCTCTGCACTTTTTTATTTTTATTTATACAGTAACCTTCTGTTAACTTCCTTTAGGATAAAACAGTGGGCTAGATCAATTCTGTTCAACAGGTAGCTCAATCGATGGTAAAATAACCTGAAGTACACAGTTTGAATCCCAGTCGAACCCCATTGCATTTTTACATTCAGAACACTGCTGTTGATTATATTTTGTTTATTTCATCTTTATTAATTTTCATAAAGGTGCCACAAGAAATGTCTTTTATACCCTAAATGATTTATCAAAGCCATAATTATGCCAAAAAAACAGTTTCTGATACTTAGTTACAGTTTTTGGCAGTGGTACGGGGATCCTTATACAAATTGTTTAGATAATATAGAAACCTTGAACTGATCGAACATGGCATCCACTCAAAATGCCACGACATGATCTCGCAAGAAAGGAACATGAAATGGACCAAATTTGAACATGTGTACATTATGAAGACCATCCTTGATATCCAGGGGTTACATTCACTTTCCCTCTCTACATCTCTGGAATATGTCATAAACAAAATCGAAGGTTCAGTGTGCAGCACCTTTTGGACAAGACGAGAAGACTGGTTTGATCCTTTGATGTACATCAAAAGAATCTCGAGGCCGTGTAACAGTAAAACTTACTGGCTTTGAAGCGAGCCTCGCTCCTCTGTAATCTTCAAAGGACAAGTATTAGCCTAGTGAGAGGTCAGGATATTTTACCTGACACCAATCAAATAGCTAGCCGCGTGCCGTCAATTTTGCTTTGACATATTCCAGAGATGTAGAGTGCGAAAATGAGTGTAACTCCTGGATATTGAGGACTAAGCACAACACTTTCCTGTTTAAATTTATCATAATATCACATCACCGTCTCGTGGTTTGATACCTGTTTGGTGTAGTGGTTGATGTCCTTGTCCTCGTCCTTAGTGGTCGTGGTCAGTTTACGGCGGCCACTGTTGTGCCACTTGAGGACCCATTCTACCACGGCCACCAATTCACCCGTTCGTACATCTATCCCGGCGTACACTGTACTACCATTGCGACTATGGCCTGCATATATAAGTCTACTGTGAAAGTCTTCATGTAGCCTTGTACAGACTCAAAAGTATATCACTGAAATTATCGTTATATCAATTATTTTGTTTGGTTGCTTTAAATATCTCCCTCAAAAACAGAAATGGCTGTATATTTTTGCTTCCTGCACAACAACTTAGGATTACGAAGTCTCATAGACTACACAAGACCATAACTTTCACTTATTATTGAGAAATATTTTCTAGTTTGTTGTATATTTGAATACCAAGAATGGCTAGTTGATGGTGCAATCAGACTTACCGAGACATGTTCCGCGGTTGATGGTGCGATCCGACTTACCAAGACATGTTCCACGGTTGATGGTGCGATCAGACTTTGTGTTGAAGGCTAGAACCACAACTCCACCTACATGGTCTTTACAGTGAGAGTCACAGCCATCGCCACCAGAGTTACGATGGGGAGTGCTCGTACGTCTGAGAAGTGGAAACACAATACAAACTATTTTGAATGCTTTAAGATTTGAAAACTGATTAAGTTAGAATGTTTTCCATTCATACCAGCTCGGGTTTGCTGTTAGTTCTAAAGAGTTTCACACGTTTGAGTCTTCGTACTTGTCCCAGCATCAGGGAAAACTTGTGTCAGATCTCTTTTTATAGGACCCCAAAATAACTTCAGATATGCTTCATTTTGGTAGAAAGATTTTTTGTCATTATCTTTTAAGACATTTACACCACTTTTCAAAAATGTCTATTTTAAAACATTTTATGGTCCATCGACATTGCATCTTGGTTTTTTTTCTCACCTTTGTCGGCGAGATCTTTGGTCACCATTAGTTTCTTGATTGTTGAGTACAATGAGAGGGGAGGGGGATACAGACGCCCGGGGTCTGCGAAGGGGAGTTCCAGGCGTTCCTATAGGGGAGCAGCTGATTACCTCAGCAGAAGGAGTAGATGGTTCCGAGCTCATGGGCGAATCATTCTCCTGGTAAAACATAAATTACTTCAGGTTATGTGAACTTTCAAATCAAAACTAGAAAATATCGTTCAGGCATTAATACTCCTGCTCTGATGCAAATGGTGTCACTGATTGATTTATATCTATATATAGTAACAGGGACCCTGGCCTTGAACCAGGAACTCTAAGTCCTTCAATGTATTCTCATACTTCATCTATGTATGAAGTTAAAATCTGTTACAAAACAAAGTTCGTAAAGTAATGTGACTATATCACATTAACATAATTCTATTAATTGTTTAGGTGATCTTTGACTTAACCTTGGAACCCTGAAATACAGACTCATATGATTTTCATACTTGGCCTTTGTATTAAGTTTGATTAAAGTCTGTCTGTCAAGAAATGAAGTGGCTAGAGCAATGCCTCTGAATCTGGACACAAAGGGGCACAGCAGGATGAGTAGGGGTGCAATGTAGTAATTACTATAAGATATATTGGGTTCTCAAATGATATATGTAAATCCCATAGGAAAAGCATCAGTACAGTACTCAAATATCGGTGTCCTAAAAATCACTACTTACATTCAAACCATGTGATACATGTGTATTATATTGTAATTTGCAATTAACTTACGTCAAGTTTTTAAGTTTCTGGTTTGGAATAATGATGGTGAATCACAGACTCTTTCGTTTATGCTGCACAACCGGTACGCCCATTTTTAAATGTAACAATTTTGGGTATAAATCCTGGTAGACCTGCAAATAGTTATGCAGGCCTTGCAAGGCTCTGTCAAGGCTCGCCTGTAAGCAGCACCAAATTACTAGGTCGAACCTTATTTCATAAACGAACAACTGTGATCCAACCAGTTCAACCGCTTGGACCGTGATAAACGAAAACAGCCTCGTTGTATTAATACTGACCAAGGGGAAGTAAGTCTAATTTCTAATAATCACCCACTTGTAGATGACCCCTACCATCCCCCACCTTATGTGACATGGGTTAGCAGCTGCCTATCCAATCCTTTGAAGAAAACTTGTTTTTACTTTATTGTTGTCTGTTTTGACAACAGAATTCAGCTTTGGGAACGTGGCCACCCACATTGTTCAGTTAACAAGGTTAGTTATACACCTATACAATATTACTACAAAACACTGCTGCCATCCAAGGAAGTGGGAGGGGCATTTTTTTTCTTGAACAGCTATTATCAAGAACAATTTCATTTGCTCCTACGGGCGATTTTTGGAGTAAAAATAGTGAAATAAACTTGCTAGGTTTATATTGCACATACTTGTTTTGGTGTCATTATTGCAGTGAAAAATACATCTTTTGTGAAATATTGGCGCTGTACTTTACCTGATGATGACCCGACTTCACTTTCCGTGTTTCCACCTTTAGGGCTGCTTTTCTGCGTTCTATTTCATCCTCTAAAAGCTGACGCTGTTAACAAATAAAATAATCACTTTACTGGGTTGGGACAATACACTTACTGCACAGTTAAGTATCATAATATTTTCTTAAAATATGTATCACAAATATGACAAGTTCTTAAATTGTTGTTTCACAATATTTGAGAATTGAAGTCTCATGATTATTTCAAGTACAATTCTCATAGATGCACATGCCAATTATCACATTAGGGTGATACCATGCACTGTGTATAGATACATCAATATATAGTTAGTCATACATTTTACACACAAAATAATCTAATGCAATTTTATACCATTGACAATCTGTCGATTTGTCTACTGAAATATACCTGGTAATAAACATTTCATTGGGAAAACATCCTGTTACTTTGTAAGGGACACAGCCCTAAATTTGACATTAAAACTCTGAAATCTGAATGTCGTCATTAGGAATGCTTTCTAACTTAAAACATCATTGTCCCATTCTAGTACAAACCTGTTTCTCCTCTTTCTTTTTCAACAGTTCTAATTTCTTCTGTTGTTCTTGGGCCAACCTTTCCTCCTGCTCGCGTTTGTTGAACATCATCTCTTCGTAGAAGGACTTAGCTGGGGGTCGATTGTGCTTATGAAGGTACTGTTGGATAACCTGAGCTAGTTCTAGTAACATCACCTAGAAAATGAAGGTGTAAAATTGTTGACTGTAACTAGCTAACCCACCTCTATTTATATTAAATATTGAAATTTTTCATTAGTACCAACATAAAATCTACTAGACGCAGGAATCAAGCAAGTGGTTTTGAATAGCCCGGTCTGAAAAACACAGGCACACAGATGACATTATGAGAATGAGATATTTTTGTCATTAGTAAGTATTCAGACACATTAACAGCAAGCCAGCAGTTTGCACAGGTAAACAGTTAAAACACCTATCAAACAAGGTTTATTCTGGCTGACGACTGATTTTGACATGTTATATGCTTGGGTGTAAGGTATGGCCGTCACAATATATTGGAAAACAGGTATATCGCAATACACAGGTACATCGTATTGTACCACAATACAGAGATAAAATATTGCTGTATTGCGATTTTTAAAAAAAAGCATATTTTTATGTATCTGCTTGGTGTTTTAACTTTGCTAATTACTACAAATTCAAACAGATATATATATATATGCCAATAAGCATAAAACAGGCTTTTAATAGTTCAAATTTTGTAATCAATGGTTGGTTTGACAAAAATCTTAAATATATGTAATCCATATTATATATGATCAAGTTTGATAACATTCTGACAATAACTTATTATAAAATTGAGCACATCCTTCCCATGGCAAGATATTGGTACACGTATATTCATTCTGTATTGCAATGTATCGGGATACACTCTTGGCGTATGGTGCCACCCCTTGTGTAAGGGGAGACTTACTTCTCCTTTTAGACTGTTGGCTAATTTGTCCACATCTCCCTTCAGTTCATCTAGCTCCTTATTAGACAGTCCTTTAGAATTCTCAAGATGAATGTCCGGAATTCTAGAAAATAAAGATTTGTTTTTCTTGTTTGTGTTCATTCATTTCCTAGATTCATTTTTTTAAATTATTTTTTTAGTGCAAGTTGTAACAGGACGACATCACATAAAATGAAGCTAAAGCATAGCATAGGATTCAATTCCGTACTTTGAAATGGGGGAGAATCTTCTATAAGTTTGTAATAAATTTTCACTCTCTGGAGGAACGTTTATTGTGCGAATCTCAATAATTGTAAAAAGGATGTAGGTAAGAACAGTGTCCATCTGTAAATAAATAATTATTTTACATAATCCTATTATAATCCTGGTGGCAACCTCGCATTGTGAATAGAATTTTTGATGTTTTCCAAAGTACATGTACTGAAGTCGGAAAAAAATATCAAGATCTTATAAATTAGATGACACAATTGCATTTATATAACATCTTTTAGTACTGTTGCTACATGATGTAAAATTTTAAAATGTATCATACTCTTCTGGATATCTGGGTGGACATTTGACCACCATGTCCAGTCTGGTGTGGATCTCTCCATGGGCTCCACAACTCTGTTGAGGAGTCAGCTTCAATCTTACTCTCAGAGCCTGTTTCACCTGGAATTTCAGAGAAAATTGAGCAAACCAAGAACAATTACTGTATAACAACATTATATCTTTTTGAAAATAACAAATTGAAAGTATTACTGTTACTGTTATGTGTAACCGGTTACAACTCAAAGTTATGACATTGAGGTAGCTGAGGGCATACAAGCTTCATTAATGAAGACATGTCCTTTCACCAAAGAAGGTTATATATGCTTATAAAAATAAAATATAACGTTAGTTATAGGTTTCAGGACTTCAAAATTTCTACAATTTTCAGTAATTATTTCAATGGATCAAAGCTGGTATTACGTTACATATTTCAATTTTATCTGAGATAACCTTTAAATATAACTAGTAAAATAACCGGCCGACAGTATATATGTCTTACTTTCCAGACATCCCTTGTACGAAGATCTTCCACACCATCCATATAAATTGATTGCAGCACCTGCAATTCATCTTCTTGCCGTTCGATGAAGTCATCGTCCATCGTCTCATGCGATTTCATTTTTTTTCTGACATCACAGTGTGCGTGGCTTCTCTCATAAAAGCCTTCAAAATGGCACTTTGTCCGTCATTTTGACGTGTAACATTTTTCTGTATCATTCAAAAACTTTTCAAAACATTTACCGGAAGTGACTATGTGGTGTTTATACATTCAGAAAAAAGATAGTGCTCGCCGTTCATTGGCTAAAATAAGATGCACTAAAGCAGGGTGTCAGACGATTCGCCCCAAAACTGTAACGCCACAAATTTGATTCATATCGCCCAAACCAGTTCGACCCAAAAAAGCATAACGCCCAGATAAATAAGATAAGATAAGATAAATTTTATTTAGAGTCGGTGGGTATATAACAAAATAACATAAGCTCTGAAGAGCTTTTGACCGACATATACACAACAGATACATGGTACATAAAATTAAGACATCAATTACTAATATCACACACATATTGTTCATATATAACTTTGATAATAGGTATAGTGTTTTACAACACTCAAAGTCCATATACCATATATCAATAAATTGAATTAAATTAAATTAAATTAAAACAAGGCTTTGAAATTAAAAGGTTTCAATGGAGACACTGTAGGCTGGATAAAGAGAAGATGAGGTTAGAGTAAGGTGAGATATTTATTATTTGCAGGCTGCACATTTACATTTGGTTCCATTCCAGGAGGATATTAAAGATTTAAAACGGCCGTAATTTGTTGTGGTCCTAAAGTTTTCGGGAAGATTATTCCAAAGACAGGCTGCTGCATATTTGAAGGATTTTATACCGTATGTAGTAGTCTTAACATGTGGGATGTCCAAAATGTTTGTATATCTGAAGCTGTAATTTTGAGACTTGGGTGTGACAATGTTGTGGAGACATGGCGGTGTGGTTTTGTGTATGATTTTGTAGGTTTCTATAGCCATTTGCCTCATTCTTCTAATTTGCAAAGTAGGTATCTTTGCCCGGGCCAAAAGTTCATCGTAGTAGACTTCTCAAGTCATCATAAATAAATCTGAGTGCCCTATACTGAATTTTCTCAATTTTTTAACATTTTTTTCCGAACAGGAGTGCCAGGAGAGTGGGCAAAAATTAAAGTGTGATAGTATGAAGGTGTGGAAAATTGTGAGTTTATTTAGTCTGCTCAGGTGTTTTCTAATTCTGTACATTTAGTTGTTGTGAGGCTTTTCTACATATGGTTTTGATGTGGAGATCGAAAGAGAGCTTAAAGTCAATGTCAACACCTAGTAGTTTTACACTTTCTTCACAAGGGATCGAAACATCATCTATTTGAAAAGAAATGTTTTGTGACCAGGTCTTTTTACCTATTGCAAATGCTTGGAATTTGTCAGGATTAGCTTTCATTTTATTTATATCGAACCAGTGTATGAGATTTTTGGTGTCTTCTTCGAGTGCGGATGTCAGTTTTTCTAAGTTTGTAGATGAGTGTGACAGGGTATTATCATCAGCATAGTTGTATAGCTGACAGTGTTTTACAGCGAGGAAGATGTCATTAACGAATACGTTAAAAAGAAGTGGGCCTAAGATTGAGCCTTGGGGTACCCCCTTTATGATATTACTCCAGCTGCTAAAAGAGTCTTGAATCTTAATTCTTTGTGTTCTGTTGGTAAGATAATTTTCTACTAGGTTTAATGAATGTACCGAAACTCCATAGGCTGATAATTTGGCAAGAAGAATTTCATGTGGGAGACAATCAAATGCTTTAGATAGATCCATCAGAATAGCAGCTACATATTTGTTATTATCTAATTTTTGTTTCCAGTCTTCAATTATTCTTAAAAGTACGGTTTGGCATCCATATCCTTTCCTAAAAGCACAAAGAAAGTTGTCAAAAATATGGTCGAAAAATTTGCTGAGTTGGTCAAAAAGTGTTCGTTCATAGATCTTGGATATGGATGGTAGTATGCTGACTGGGCGATAGTTACCTTTATCAGGTCTGTCTTTTTTCTTGTAAATGGGTTGGACTTGGGCACGCTTTAAATTGTCGGGGAAAATTCCAGAAGTGATGGTTGTGTTGATGAGTTTGGTTATATGAGGGGTAAGGGAGTGTTGTCCTGCTCTGATGAGTTTTGCGCTGATGTGATCTACACTGGGAGCCTTTTTAATGTTTAAACGTGAAACTATTTTTGTAATATCCTCTTCCTGAATCGTGGTGAAATTAAATTGCAAATTTTGGTCTGAGTTTCTTTGATTTTGTTAATGCTCTCGTGTGTGTCTGGGTTAAAATCAATGTGTTCTCCTATTTCATTAGCGACATTTACAAAAAAGTTGTTAAAAGTTTGGCATACCTCAGTTTTGTCAGAATTAATTTGGTCATCTTCCAATAAAACTATGTTAGATAGATTGGTGTTTGTTTTTGTTCGAAAGGAATGGTTTGATTGTAGGCCAGAAATCAGAGTTCTTAGCTCCACAAGTACATCTTTCCATGAAATAATTGTTTATGGAGAATTTCTTTAGTTTGTTGACATGGTTTCTTTGAATCCTGTATTTTTCCCTGTATTGTTGCTTCGGGTTATAGTATTTCTATTTCGTCCCAAAAAAACTGAAACGCCTTAAACATTTCTTCCATAAAAGACAAATATCTACCTATTCTTAGTATAGATCTAGAAATTACAAAAATTATCCGGCGTTTGCATGTTTGGGACATAATTGTTGTGCCGAATTGTTGTGCCGTAGTCCGATAACTTACCATATCTATATTATTTAAGATTATATATACATATATACCTTTTCACGTCCGATCTTTCTCTTTCTCTATTCATAAATAAATCAAGGAAATCGTTAAATTTGGGATTGAGTCTAGGGGCCACTCATCAGGATCAAAGGTCAACGGCTATAATAAAAGACTAATACCATTACCCGGCCTGGCGGACCCTCACACGGATATATGTCTCTGGACAGAGGTAATAATACGTATTATCACTTGATTTTTTTTATCTTTATGTTAGATTCAACATGAAACACGCGAGTAAATAAGAAACGCAATAATTTTCACGGGTAACGATGAAGCTGGTATTCACCAAGAAATAAACTATTTTCACATTTTCAATGGTTATCATTCACTTCGCGACGATGGTGGGGTCAGCAAACTTTTGCTGTCCTTCTTCATCAACACCCAGAATAGTGCTTTTTTTCCTGCTTCTTGTGGCATTCCAAGTGTTAATTGCTGTTTGTCTACACCGTCCTGTAATTCCCGATACAGAGAACACAAATTTCGCAGAAAAATCATTGCAGCCAATCTCCACTGGATAGCTCCATGTTTAACACCATTTGTCTAAGCACTTTACCAGCAACGACCTTTTTTCCTCCTACGAAATTTTCAATTCGACGACAGCCATTTTTGTTCCTGTCTACCACATGACCACGTCGTGCTGGAGATAGGTCGGTGCCATCTCTAGGAATTAAAACTTCTGGTAATTGTCCACTGCAAGTACCAGTGTACTTCTCGGTTTAGGATTCCGGAACTCTTGCCCGATCTTTTGCCAGTAATCTAACGATTGTTGGCCATAATTGCTGTGACTGGTTCTTCATTTCTGTTTGTAATCCCATCCAATACACGAGGCAATAATGTGTCTCTGCAACGTCTCAGCCGTACAAGTTTGCTGGTGTTGGTAGCAAATTATACAAAATTTGATTTCTTTCAGGATCGTACTCTGTCGTGTCTTTTCCCTCAACATGAACTCTTAATGTAACATAGTCCTTGCCATTCTGTTGCCAATGCTACTCATATAATGTCCTTAAGGCGTACATGTAATCTGCTTTCAGCTCCGTCAGCTGCTTCGGATTCTGACCACTACCAACCCGTCCTAACTGCCACTTCAGATAGTCGTTCATCAGTCTCTATAAAATCGTTTAAGGTGATATGTCGTGCCGTCTCAACATTGAAGTCATTCAACAACCGATGTTAAGGGAGCTAAAGATTTTCTGTTCCGCTGTGTAAACGAGACATATTGATGTAAAAGCTTGGTGGTACTATCCACTTCGGAACCGTTTGATTTTTTTCGATATCTTTCCTATGGTACAAAATTCTCTTCTGCCTTCTGCCAGCAGGATGGTATTTCCTCTTTCATCAAAACCATTTTCAGCAATTTCAATAGATGTTTCAGTATCTTTCGACATTTCTTGTATTCTTTGTAGGGGTTGCCGTTGACGCTGATCTAGCTTTTTGTAAAACTGCTTTCAGTTGATATGCATAGCAAATATGAATGCGAACTGGAGAAGACGGATACAATGAAGACTTGTCCGAAAACTTCCATTTACACGTTGGAAACCTCTCAGTCCAACATCCCTCCGAGCAACACGTCTTTGAAAACCAACGAATCCGCTCTAAAGAGCTGCGGGATTCGAGGTTCAAAGGTTCGATCGATTATTTTTAGATTTTATCGAAATTTTATTATTTTATCGATGGTTTGATATTTAGAACTTATACATATATGATCGCATCTCTAAGTTTATTGTTTCCGTGGCTACATTTAAGCTTGATCGGATGCCTCCAAAGAGACTGATGACGTTTCACTTGCACTGTTGCATTGTGTATTAGTTTGAAAGTTTGAATATGTTTTCCTTAATTTTATCTTTAAAAATCGTTTTAGCTACTGATGTATTCCATGTCAGGCGTTTTTTCTTCTGTAAATTAACAGAGCGCTGTAGATTCAAGTTTTATTTTATATTAGTTGTAAGTTTCCAATGCATTCATATTGACAATATAAGCCAAATTTTCAATTTTGGATTTTTCTTATCTCTTACAAAATGAAATATATTTGATAAAAGTTTGTACACTTATTTTTACATCAAACTAGATGTTTTATTTAGCGTGTGTTTTTCAAAATGGACAATATCGAAAACTCCTAACATCGCGTGAAAATGTTCGCCTGCAAAATCAGATTGACTCGCCGCCATGTTGGATTAATTGCTAAAGTGATAAAATGAAATTGACAACATCATATTTGTTGTAAACAATGAACACGTTTTACCAAATCACACATCCTAAGGCCATTTTTGTTCCGTGAATCATTTAGATTACATCAGATTCGTGATGGCAAGTGTTGAAGCTAAGCCATTCAATACGGAGTCTGTAACGCGGTAACGCCACCAGATGAATTCTTAACTATGATTTTATA